AATCAAAAGAAGTTTAGAGTGAAATTTGTGGGGAAGAGATTAAGCCCGTTGACGGTAGCCGACGGCGAAGCCGGCTGCAGCCCGGTGGAGGCTCCCCAGATTCTGAAAAAACAAAAGGGCTGCTACGCTGTTAAATTGAAAGAGTTCTAACCTTTTTTTTTTTTTTTCAAGAGAAGAGTTAAAATGGTTTAAGAAAAAAAGTTGCCCTATAACTGTTGGACAGAAAAACCAGCTACCCGACCCATTGTAGATCCGACCAATCCAACCAGCAATAGGATTCGGCTCGTGACTAGGGGAAGCCCAACCTGTGTGGATCTTTTTGTGCTATTGATTTGGACCTCATCATTCAAGTGGTTTTGGGCTTAAGTGTGTAGTCTAAATTTGGGTTTTTTTTTTTTTTTAAATTATGTTTTATATTTATTTGCTTTAATGTTTGTTAATACGAAGTCGTGTTTTTTTTTTAAAAAAATTATATATGAATAAATAAAAGATATAAAATTTTTAAAAACAATTAATTTGTATGTTATTATGTTAGTATAAGATTTTATTGTGAAATTTTAATCATCTTTTAGATAATGAGATATTAAAAAATTTCAAACAATGATTTTTTAAAAATTTTTATGTGAAAATATTTTTTTAAAGTGTTACTAAAGTATTATTGGAGTATTTAAAATCATATTTAATGTAAAAATATTTTTTTTATTTATTTTTAATTAAAAATTAAATAATAATAATAAAATTTTTAAAAAATAAATAAATAAATAAATAAAAATAACAAAATATAAGGGAATAAAAATTTTTATTTGATGATGAAATTTTAAGATAATTCGAAAAGTGATATGTAAGAATTCTTTAGGTAAGAAAATATTTTTTAAATACCATTAGTGTATTAAAATATTTATAATTGAGATTTTTTTTAATGGAAGAGTTAAAATGATTTTAGAAAAAAAATGCTTTTATAACTATTTAGAAAAAAAAAAAAAAAAAAGAAATGGACCCCATCCATTGTAGATTTGACCAATCCAAGACACAACTTGGATCCGGCCCGTGACCAAGGGAAGCTCAACCCGCGCGAAACTTCTTTGTGCTGTTGATTCGGACCTCATCATTCAAGTGGTTTTGGGCTTAAGTACATAGCCTTAATTTGGGTTTTTTTTGTTTATTTAGTTATGTTTTATATTTATTTGCTTTAATGCTTGTTGTCTTTTTAAAAAAAAAATTACATATGAATAAATAAAATTTAAAAATTTTTAAAAATAAATTTATTTATAGATTATTATGTTAGTTTAAGATTTTATTGTGAAATTTTAATAATTTTTTGAATTATGAGATATTAAAAATTTTTAAATAGTGATTCTTTAAAAATTTCTAAGTAAGAATATTTTTCTAAAATATCATCAAAATATTGCAATATTTAGAAATATATTAAATATTTTTAAGAATATTTTTCTAAAATATCACCAAAATACTGCGATATTTAGAAACATATTAAATATAAAAATATTTTCATTTATTTATTTTTTAATTAAATAATAATAAAAAAATAATTTTTTTTAAAAAAATAAATAAAACAAAAATAACAAAATATGAAGGAAAAGAAATTTTTATTCAATTATGAGATTTTAGAGTAATCCAAATAATAATACTTAAGAAATCTTTAGGTGAGAATATATTTTTTAAATATTAACAGTATATTAAAATATTTATAAAAAAATTTTTAATATAATAAAAAATTATTTTTTGTTCTAAAAATATAATAATAATAATGAAAATAAAAAGAAAGAAATAAACAAATCTTTCTAAAAAAAGAGGAATAAATAAAAAAAATGCATATAATATTTTATTTTTTGCATTGCATGCATATCACTGGATTTTTGAAAAGTAAACACGAGTTTTCGAGGATGAGATCCTAAAAAATTTTGAATAATAATTTTTTGAAAATCTTTAGGTGAGAAGATTTATCTAAAATACTGTCAAAATATTGGAGTATTTAGAATAATTTTAATAAAATTTTTCTTTTACTTTTTATTTAATAAAAAATTAAGAAATGAATTTTTATAAAAAATTGAAAATAAAATATTACTTGAGCTAATTATAAGTATTATTTTATACATTTAAAATATTAATTTTAAAGATAAATATGAACTGCTGATGATATAATTTTTTAGAAGTCTTAGTAGCAATTCTTGATAAATCTCTATGTGAGAAAGTTTTATTTTAATATTACCAGAGTATTAGAATATTTTTAGGAATTTTTCTATACACAGGATTTTCATTTATCTTTCAAGCAAAAGATTAAAAAAAACAAAAAAAAAAGATTTTGTTACAATAAGATAAATCAATAAAATCATTTTAAATATCGAAATTAAGATCTTTTAATCAAAATTGAAAGATAACACATAGTTAATTAATATTATTTTTAAACAGGAGTGCTAATCTTTTCTCACATGTAACTGTATTCTCAAACTAAACTTTGATTTTCGTAAATAAAAAATTATCCTTTTAATAGATTTAATTAGTGTAAACTTTTATTAAAAAAATAAAATTTTTATATGATCAATCATACCTAGTAAAAAAAAATTATGACGACTCTTCTTTTTTTAAAATTTTTAAATTCATCTAGCAATTCCAAAATTATTACGAAAATATTTTTTTGGACCTTGGATTAAAGTTAAATTTATGACTTATTAGAATCAAAATAATTTTTTAAATTTAATAATTTTGATTCAGATATCCAAAAAAAAAAAAAGAATATACTAATATAAGTAGATCTTTCTTCATGTATATGCATATTAAGAAGAATCTTACTTAAATTACTTAGACTCGAAAATGGGTGTCAACACCAATATGTTCAATTTATTTTTAATTTTTTTATGAGGATTTGATCTCAATATATCTATATTTGTTACATATTGATCATATAAATTAATTGTTTTTTAATTGGAATATTAGATTAGGAAGCTCTTACGAACGTCCTTTATTGCAACATGTTCTTTTGTTGCCGGTGTTCATCTTACTTCTTTTGATGATGAAATATATTTCAATTTAAAAAAAAAAAAATTGTTTTTTTTTAAGTATTGTAGAGGTTTTATATAGATATCTCTATCGATGGATATAATATATATATATATATATATATATCAATAAATGATTGATTCAATTGGTTAAAATTTATATTTTTTGACGAAAAAATCTTGGGTTCGAATTTTGCAGGTGATTACTTGTTGGGGTCATTTCGAATGCAGACATGCAACCACTTATTTTTAATTATTAAGTACGGTATATCTTACTTTGATTTAGAAGACTGAATAACCTATTTACTCCAGATTTTTTTTACCAAAATATATATAATTTATATATATATATATGGACTATATTTTAATTCATTATTTGCTTGTTAAAAGTCATCAACGGTAGTATACTTGCATTGGTAGTATATTTTAATTGGGCTTCCAAGTCTATTAAGATCAATTTCTATGACTTTAAAAAGAAATCATATACCAAAAGGTGCTGAAGAAATGAATCAAGTGTTTCTTTTACGGAGAAACTAACCCAAAATTTGTTTGTAAAAAATGGCTCAGCTTTGAGGAAATCTTGCTTGGCTCGAGATAACTGAAGTTTCTTTCAAACAACACCTTGTTGCTTAGTTGGTTAGAGGTCCATTGATTTTCTACTACTTATTTCCATGCTTAAACTAAGGCTTTGTTTGATAAACCATTGAAATTTAATAGCATTAAAAATCAAAACTTTCAACACTTTTAATTATTCATACGTTTGATAATACATTTTAAAATTCACTTAAAATTTTTTCAAAAGTATGAATGATATAATGATAATAGATCTTTTTTCATTTATGCAAAAAATTAGTAAATTTTCTTAATTTGTGTTTTATAAATTATTATTTTAAAAACTTACTTCATTTTCCAATAATTTATATAAAGTTACAGAAATTATATATTTACTAAACATATAAATAAAAATGAAGAGTTTATTTTAACTTTAAGAGTTGCTTTCAATAAGAAAAATTTTAATCTTGAGTTATTTTATTCTACTTAAAATCAATTGTTTGTTAGAATGTCTGAATTCATATACTAAAGTTATATATTTAAATATATGATACACATTTTAGCATTTCTCATTCGTTATAGGATGAAAAAACCGTATCCTGATAATTAAAATCATAAAGAAAGAATCATATTTTGATACTAAGTTAAACATTCAATTTAAAACCAATTGACAGAAAAATAATATTATCCCACTTCTAATAAATATTTAAGTTAAATCCTTTCACATACAATCAATTGATTTTAAATTAAATACTTAATATGATATCAGAGTCAGATTTCTTTCTGTTACTCTTAATTTATTACGCGAAAAACTTATTATATCTTCACTTACATGTGATAAGAGCCTGTTAGTATGATGTTATCTCATATCTAATAAATATTTAATTTTTTATAATTTTATATTTAAGTTAAGTTCATCAACTTATAATTAATTGATTTTAAATTAAATTCTTGACAAGAATAAGTACAATAAAATAACTAGTCAATAAAATGTTGAGTTTGTAAAATTTGAATAGATTTAAAATTAAGTTTTGCTATCAACACTCGCCCTTTTCTTATTTTTTAAATCCAATATAACTCTTATATCTATCTTGATTTTGGAATACAAAAACTTTCTCTCATTTTAAACTTTTATGTACTAAAAAGAGATTTCATAGCTAAAAGTGTACATATAACTTCTTGGTATGAGATTTTGAAATTATAGAATCATCGCCCATGAAATAACCCAACTACAATTTTGACAACTAAGATTTTGCGATATTGCAGTGGATAATTCCTAACTTTCTCAACTTCACATTGCCTAATAATAAGATTGATTAAGATTATATCTAAAAAAACTTGAAATTAATATACTATCTGTTCTTAAATTTAGTGAAAATAATGCATTAAATATGGAAATTTTCTTTCAAATAATGTAAAAGCTATTCTTTAATTTTAAAAAATCTCTACTTGAACATGAATTCCATTAAAATAAAAACAAATAAACAAAAAATTCTTGAGCGACTACTATTTTTCCCTATATATTGAAGTTTGAGAAAAAGGCATAGATAAATTTACATTAAGAATATGTAAAATACAAGGGGACAAACAATAAGTAAGGTCCCCAATACAACATAAAAATAAGCGGCATCTGTTACAACGAAAACAGATGCCAAACTCAAAGAAACTCCCCCAGGCCAAGATTTGGCATCAATCTACACTTGATTGGAACCAATTGTCCACCCCATTTTCTGTCTTCCATGAAAGCTGGTCAACAGATTCCTGCTGCTGACAATGCTCGCAAGTTGTGAGGTGCAAGTTACACAAAAACTCAGGATGCAACCAGTGTATAAATGCTACTAAAACTCAGGATTGAGATCTCTCTTGCATTTTGGCTCTCGCAAAAAACACGCCGGCCAAAAGACCTGCAAGATTCAGTGCATCTTATATACAACAGCTACAATAAAAGGAACTTGGAAAAGAGGTCAGAAAATGTTAAAAGTGTTTGATAACATTTTTGCATAAACATATTTGCAAACTTGAACGTGTTAGTAGAATAGGGCTTACCAAACAAGATGCTGGCAGAGTTTTCCAAACTAGTAGGGACTTTGAAAAGAACAATCCCGGCAACAGAGAGAGGAATTTTATTCAATGATCCCACGAGGCTGCAGATAACAGATCAGGAATGTGTAAAAATTCTTTTAACCACTAATTATCACGTCTAAAAGTAATTTCAATGATCCAACATATTAATTCCCCAAAACAATTTAGTTTGAGATTGACTTGGAACTGAATATGGGTTCAATTACATTAATGCAAAATCACTACATTTGACATATAAAAGGACTAAATCTAACAAAGACTTTCGACTTTTCTCCTTAATCCATATTTTAAAAAATTCAAGCTAATCTTCAGCTTTGCGAGGGCTGGTCAAATTGCAAACTAAGGCAAACAAGAGTAGCATTTATAAATGATGGGTCAATTTGTGAACATGCCTCTGCTCTAGCATAACCTAACTTCTACAGGAACTGCACCACAACACTGTCAATCTCCAAAATTAGAAATGCCTGTTTCGTCTTTCAGTCCAATCACACAAAGCTAAATGTAACTATGTAGAGTGGCTTTTAAGCCCTTTTTCATCTTACCTGTATGTTGTTGCCCCGGTTTGATGAAGAAACCACATTGAAGTGAAACTGATTGCTAGACCCAAAAATCCACTTAATGTCATTACCAACCAGAAGTCAGGCATCCTTAGAAGTGGTCTGTCAAGTAAATTCAAGTTTGTGAGATTCCATAAGAACTCTGAAACAAGAAAACTATCAGAAATCATTTGTAAGTGAAAGTAAAAACTGGTTGTTGCAGGTTATTTGCAAGATGGCACATAAGCTACCACAGTTTGCATTTCAGTTCAACCAATAAAATCAATAACCATAAGGCTGAAATCAGGCTGCATTTATTAGTGGAGCTTTAAAATGATAAGAATTGACATATTTAAATCTCAGCATGGAAAGATTGGTCCTTAAAAAACAATCTTGTTTAGCAAATGTGACTAAGAAGGCTTGAGATATGAAGAAACTGAATTGGTATAGAGCAACCTCAAGCACATGCAAATAAGTTCTAGGAAGAGTTTGGTGTATTTGCTAGTTTTGGTAAGACCAAAATGGAGGAACAGGTTTTCAAAAACTTGGACTTCTGAGTGGCAAAGAGGATCCACACAATGATTTTTTTTATATGATAGGATGTGATGCTGGTAAGCAATAACAAAAGGCAATAAACGCGCAAAGGCATGCATAATAATATATATGAATAAAAAAACTCCGAGTGATGCAATCTTTGGTGTTATAAAGAACAAAGGTAGAATAAAGAGGGCAAAGAATAAAAAAGAAGGAACTAATGAACAAAAATAAAAGAAAATAATATGAGACAACACCATGATGGTCGGAAATACTAATACAAAACCCTTCAAATAGGCAAGCAAACTTTCTAGTATTGTAACAGACTGTTATCATAATGTAACTGTAAACTTTTAAAACAGAAGTTCAAAATTATGATGAAAAATTAAAGACCATGACTACATCAAGTGAATGCAAACTGTAGAAGGAAAAGAAAAGGTATAACATTATAAAAAAAAAAACAGGTCACAAGTTGAACACTTGATGAAATGATAGTGTGTATATTTTGTACAGCTAGCAAAGAAAACAAAATTAGAGTCGGTACTTTGTGACAACCCATTAGCAACATACATTTGTCCCTTGTCTGAACTGATACTCTAGAGTGCCATTAACTAGTCGACTCTGGATATTCAAGCAATATCAGCAAAAAAGAAAGAAACAAAGATGGCATCATGTTAAGACTCTTATAATATGTTACATTTCTAAAAAGAACAGAGACCTAATAAATATCTCATGTTACACAAAGCATGACGTGGGGACTTAGTCATGGACTTATTAAATTGTTAACACCCCACCACCACCCTCGCCCCCAGCCCTCAGTGGCAGATCTCTCTTAAACTTATCTTCTGTGATATTAAATTAAACATCTATTGACTCAATTAAAAATAGAAATAACAGCATTTTTAGAAAACAAAGTAATTAAGTGTCAAGCATTATACTCAAAAAGTTATATGTTTACATGTAACAACTCATAAGAAGGGATAAACTATATCCTACAATTGATTTATTTTTGTGAATCAATCACAAACAAAAATTTGATAACTAATAGAATCCAAATAAGATCACGAGAATTAAAACATTAGATCATGAAAAGAGTGGACATATATATTTTTTACTATGAAAGTTGCAATAAAAGAAAATATGTTTTGAAGTTCTAACATGAATAATGATGGAGGAATAAAACCACTCACGTAGTGAAGAGATAATCAACCTCATTGAAAACAAAAATAAGAAGAATCCCCAAAGGCAATGAAAGTGTGTTATTTAGCAAGACCATTGAAAATTCATTCAAGTTTCCAGATTTGGTGACCTGTTTAGCAGTATCCATGACCCTACGCAAGGTCAGCTGCATCAGTAAAAATAAATAAATGAGCAATCAATCATTTTTTTATTTTAGATTTAAAAGAAAATGAATGGACTAGAGATGAATAAAAATATACCAGCCATAATTGTAAAAATAGGAGAGAAAAAAAATCATGAAGACAGACCAGACTGGCTATGGCAAGTACCAACAAATTGAACTTGAAACTATATCCTAAGTCCAGTTTTGACTGTTCACAACAGAGACTTAAAATTCAAGGCACAACTTATAACAACATTTAGGATGCACAACCAATTGGAACTTCAGCTAAAAACCTAATGAATCAAAATAATCTGAGACATTAGAACCCAATAAATATGATGGATGTCTAAAACATATCAAATCTCAACTATAACATGAGCATTACACTGTTCATTCTCAGCCAAAAGAAGCTTCACCAAGAAATATTCATTTACTTACTCTAACACAAGCTCCTAATCTTTACTTTCACTCATGGTTTTTTATGCTAACCATATTGAAGATCTCTAATGCACATGGCATTTTGCACTCAATAGGCTAGACAATACTAGTATTGATGTATTAACAAGACATTTCATTTATTACCAAGTGTTGTCTTTTATTTAACCTCATAGTACATTATTTTGAAGTAGATACCAAAGAAATTCAAGATCTATATAAAAAATTCAAAAGCACTATAATTCGAGGCAAGAAGGCTAATCCATTATTAACGTACAATATGTCTCCATATAGATATTTAATCCTATTGCCGCAATTAGATTACTTTTCTTTGCGCAAGAAGTAAGATTTTATAATGCTATTGCAGACTCCAAATGAAGCGTGAAACATCAAAAATAGATTTACAAAAAAAAGATGCTGGCTAGTAGAGATTGCAATTAACAAAGCACAAAACATCTTTTGGCATCAAAAGAATTCACACAACTTGGTGCTTTTCTGCCAGATTAAGACATGCAGGCTTAATTAAAGGCATCCCTTGAATTGTACTTCTGAAACAAAACTGTATGCACCCCAAATTCAAGTTGCTTAAATAAAATATTTTCTACTATAATTTTGAAACTTGTAGTACCACTGTGTTGTTAAGTAAATTTTCATTGGAATGAGATATCAACTAGCAAATAGGAAGCAAAAGCAATGACTTCTATTTTCCAAAACAGAAGAGAAAATAGCTAAAACTGATAAGACAAGCCCACAAAACTATGAGTAATGACTTTTATTAAACAAAAAAAAAAAAACTTAAATGTCGAAAATTGAAAGCCACAACATCATTATATACTCACAGAATATGATGCAGTTAAGAAGCAGTTTATAATCTGCCAAGCATATCCAACAGCATGAAATGAAAGATCAGTTATCCCTCCAGAAACTGCTGAAATGATCTGCACAATACAGAAGCAAAAGCTGATTACCCTTCAAAATAACCTGATTTCTTATGGAAGCAGCCTGATATGTGCTCTAGAATTAATAATAGACCAAGTACAAATGCAAATTATGTTAAACTGATCTCATTCCAGATTGATTATGCTTTAAAATATCTCTGTTAGATAAGAGCATCTTAAGAAAGAACCCAGTTTCTTATAGACACTCCAGTCTCATGGAAAAATCTTTTTGAAGTTTCCATCATTCCATAAATGGATAAACCCCCAAAGCACCTTTATATTGTATTCCTAGAAGATAACAGTGTAATGTGTTAAGTTATTTTAAATTATTTTTTATTTAAACAAACATGTTGAATTGCAAAGGAATACAGGTGGAAAAAAAAATTATCAAAGAAAAAAAAAAAAAACTAAGAGATGCAGCATCAAGCTAATATAAGAAGTTCAACATGTTGATTAAATTATTCTCAATCCCATATTCACATTTCCCAAATAAACTGATTCAATAAACATACCATTAAGAACAAAGCAGCCCACACCCTGCTATCATGATGCTTCTTAAACAAATACATTTCACCGACTGCAGTAATTACATTAGTGACATTCTTCAAGACCGTGACCATGGCTACGTTAATATATTTCAAACTGCAGAAAGCAAAAGTTACAGTTAAGCTACGGTAAAGATGAATTTGATACTTTGAGCATTCACCAATTACTCATGACAGCATGTGTTTCATGGAAATAAACTTCTAAAATAATGCAACTAACAGTGGATAAGCACTAACAACTGAATGTTCAAACTACTTCCACCTAAGATAATCTCAGGAAAAATAATAAGCAAAATCAAATGCTAAAGACCATATGATTTCTGAAATTTCCCACAAAATTCTAAAATCGAACATCTAAATCAAACATGTAAAATTTTTTATTGATATCACCAGTCACCACCACTACATTAATTTCTTTGATGGACACATCCTCACCAAAGCACAGATAATGATCAATCAAAACAGTAATCATTAAACATAAATCCAGGAATATGACATTTTAATGATTTTTTTTTGGTACAAAAAAGTTTAGGGTGAGGGTAGGCTTCCCTAGTCCAGGCCAGGGTAGACCGCATGCCTCAAGAGTGGAGTTACATTGGATTAAATATATAGTAAATAATTCCAACCTAATATTTCTGTTAACAGTGGAGAACTTTACACTTCTTTTCCCTTTTTGAATGAACGCCACTTTACACAACTCTGAGCAAGAGTATCGAGCACAAATGTGTCTAGATGCCAAATGCACTCCTACTCAAGTCATATAATGCAGAGTAAGCCATAACAATCAAATAGCATTCCCCCTATGCCCAAGACTAAATGAACCATAAGTGAATAGCACCAAATGTTTCTGCCATGTGTCCTACAGGGATGCACCATTTTTTTTACTGAATCTAATATACAATTCACACATCTGTGTCACAAATCATTTTTGATGATAGGCTAAAGCAAAATTTATAAATCACTAGAAACAATATTTTTAATAAAAGTGGCAAACACATAAAACAAAGAACTCATAATAACCTTCATGTACAACCAGAAACAACTGTGGAAATTCTAGGCCAGTATCATTAAATATATGAGACATTTTCAAGATTCAAGGTGTAACAAGATTTGCAAAGAAATCCAAAAAGAACTCAAGAAAAATGGTTCATTAACTCATTTCTATATGTAAGCATTTTGTAAGGCAGAGCCATCAGCAAGAATCAGAGAGTGAGAGTGGGACTCTTTGACATCAGTAAATTCAGTACATTCTTTGGACCATATGGCTAGAAATACTCAAATTCATCATGTATTTAAAATCCCTCTTTCTTTCTCCCTTTTCCTCCCATCCTCTTTCTCCAACCCACAACCTTCACCATCAAACTATATGCAAAGTCCAACTGATACATAATTTAGGCTTTTTAAATAACCAATTTACACCGAATTGAGAATTGTTGGGTTCCACGTTGATTTTAGTTAGAGTTAGTTAAAGACAAGAAATCAACGTGGTAAACAAATGTCTTTTCATTTTTCTTTTTGGTTAATTAACTAGAGGTAAGAGTTCTTTCAAACAGAAACCTCAATTTAGAAGTGACAATATCTAAGTCCAAACAAAAGCTACTATTCAACTATAAAGATGGATAATTACCCTGGTAGTCCTGTCTTTAGAAATAAAAATATAACAAAATAAATGAAACAGCCTTAAAGGGTTAAGCAAAAAAGGGACTAATTTCTTCAGAAGGTAGCAGGCTATTGATTCACAAGCTGTAAAATTACAAAATAGAAATTTTAAATATTCTTTCAGCTGATCAATATATAAAGAAGAATCAAACAAGGATTCACCAAGATCACCATACAAGAAATACATTTCATACCTGAACATGCTTGTCACAAGCATCCCAACAAATATGACATTCACAGGTAACCAGACTTTAATCAACCTCCACGTTATTGGTTCCGTCGATATTAGGCTGAGAGAACTCAGTACAGACACAATAACAACGGATATAAAATTCTGCAGGCAAAGAGAGCCAAGAGCTTGTAAAGAGATCAGAACCATTTTTGAACCAGATATTGAATGCACAAAAAAAAAAAAAAAAAAAACTGCTGCTATGATACCAAAAAAAAAAAAAAAATCCAAGCATAAATATAAATATCAGTTACCTGGTACAGCATCAAGGATATCCCAGCATTGAAATCATAGCTAGAGAGCACAAACTTGTTTACTAGTATCATACTGCAGGAGGAAATGCAATATGCAAGGCCAGATAATAAGGCCTGATTTTGTATTTTAACTACCTTGTTACTACGTATAATTTTATCTCTGTCCTTTTCCAACTTACCACCCTCCAAGTCCATATCATCATTTTCAAGAAACTTTACGGCAGATAATGACCTATATTAACAGAAAATGTTAATCAATACCCACTATTAAAGATCTCAATGCAGTTTATTTGCTAAGAGAAATAGACAATAACTGAAAAGAAAAGCAAGATATGCAAGCTACAAACATGTTGAACCCACTGAAGCTCACATACCAGTTAAAAGAAAAGGAATGGGGGAGGGGGCCATTGGAACCCTTAGGGAAGGATAAGACCTTTACCACTTTTAGAATTGGAGTAACTATAGTCCCACTTTACTTTCAAGAGACATATTAGTCAGAGAACTACCCAAAGATACAACAAGAACCCAAAGGTAAGAAAAGGTGAAAGAATTAAAGTACATACAATTGGTACATTAAACTAACCGACTAATGGGACTTTATCCTAATCGGCATATTAAACTCTTGAATTTTCTGTCAAATCCTTTGTTTGGGAACAGAGAAGATGATACATTCTCTTATGGTTGAATAGACATCAACTACCTTGTATGGAATTCCATGGTTCAAAGACCAAAGATAATGAACTAGCCCACGTTTGACAAGCCCATCAGACAAGCAACTGTACTTAAAATTGCTTCTGTCCTTTACTTTTATTTACAAGTGTATAATATAAGAGAATAGCAGTGTAAACAAATCAAGCTACTCATGAGTTACACAGGCTTGATTTGATGAATACTCAAGCTTGACAAGTCGAGCCACTCAAGTAACAAGTCGAGCCAAATTCAAGTACTTTAATACCCAACTTGAGAGACTTACAAGCCTAATCGAATCTTTATTTTTTAAATATATTTAATGTGTATATATAAGTAAATAACAAAAATATTGCATTTTATGTCTACATTTACAATTTTATTGAGCCTATCAACCGAGTTCGAGCTGCTAAAGTAAATTAAGAGCCAAACTCAAGTACAAAAATGAAGCTCGATTGAGCTCGAGCTTGACAATGGATCAACTCGACTCGACTCAGCTCAGCTCAATTACACCTCTATAGGAGAATGCATTCAACCTGGGTTCCTCAACCCCACCCCCCATCCCCTCCACCTGATGTAAAAAAAAAAAAACTGTACACAGTTGTTTGAACAAAAAGAAGGATGGGATCAAGCCTATCTTATGAGTATTAGCAAAACTGACCAATGCAATTATAGCTACTGCTAATGATAAAGGATTTCAATACTCAAATAAAACATGTCTGGAAGCAGAATTCAATTTGCAGCCAAACAGGACACTTGAAATGGAGTTTATCTTTCAAAGACAAAGACACCTCCCTCCATTTCTCACGTTTTTACCACCAAAAACAGCTCCATAAAAATGACAGGATAAGAGAAATAATGTAACAAATCCATAAAGTCAAAAACTTCATGCATTCAACACACACAACCCAAAAAAGAACCCCCAACGCCCCACTTCTTTTAGCTCCAAAACTAAACTAAATCTAAAAGCAGAATGTATTTTGACTAAAATTTGTTTTGGAGCATCACCCTCCCTCCTGGTCTCTCCTCTCCCTTGTGCCCCCCTCCCCCCCCCCCCCCCCCCCAAAGAAAAAAAAGCGCTTGCCGTCAAACACAAAAACCACATAAAAATCAAGGTTTTTTTTTTCCTTTCAAAAATAAACATAATTTGGAAGCAGAATCCAGTTTGCAATTTATTTGGCAACTAGAATGAAGGTTATCTTTCCACTGCACCTTCCTCCCAACCTCTATCTTCTCTTCTTCACACCCAAACACTTCTGATACAAAATGAATGGAGAAAAATTCAAGTGACAAGCTGCAAATTTAAATCCCTGTGTTGTTTTCATGCATTAGAAACACTTTTTGAGAAGCAGTAGATAGTGTAGAATCACAGCTGACAAGGGAAAAGAATTTGTAAATTCTAACAAAAAACTTAAATTTGGAGAAACTGTAGAGAAGAAATGAATAATATGAGAAGCTTTGTTAGAAATTCAGAAGCAAAATAAATCACTAAAGCACACCAAAACTCAATGTAATCATTAAATAACTAAATAATACCTGTTAACTACATCTCTTCTTACTGGACTAGAGGCTTGATGGTCCTGATCTAGCACCCTATTTGATTCATGAAATTTAAGGGAAACCATACTGATATTTTCGGTGTCATTCCTTTCAAAAAGAGCATCAGGAGAATCTAGAGATGCACCTATTGACAAAGTTCTTCCAAACAAAAGACACATCAAAGCATCAGTTTTGAGCTCCAAAACAGAAACTCTGAATTACAGAATCAAGTACAGACAGTAACCGTATCAGAAACAATGGTTAAATATTCATTTTAATGTTTCAAATTATACAAACTCCGACACCAACAATTTGTTCCTGCCAGAAATAAAGTCAACAACTCAAAGGCATGATGAATCACAGAAAGTATGGACCTAGAAACCCAGACAAGAGGAAGGGGGGAAATTTTAAAAGATAAAAAGTGCTTCAGATTGCTGTAAAAAAATCTGAAGGAAAATAAACTAAAATGCCCTTCAAGGTTATATGACTCATCAAAAAAACAAAAGCCTTTTATATGATACAGGCAACAAGATCGACTGGTGCAATTTGTTATCAAGCCCAAATGGTAACTTACCAAGTTAAGAATTATATATTACTACTAGCATTAAATGCAACATACACTTTAGATAGTGATTACCACCTTATTTCTATATAAAAAAATATATATAGATAAGTAACAGATTAATTAATTATCCATATCCAAAATTATAATTCAACAGAAACTGAGTAAAACCCAAATCTAGATAATTTACCAACTTGATGTTCATAAACAAAGAATCAAAGTTTATATGAAATAGCAAAAACAACAAATTTATTTTTCAAAAATAAAAAAAAAAAGGGGAAACCCCAGAGAGGGAAAAGAAAAAATACCTTGAAGCCATCAAAACTCAGAAGTTGATAGCTTTGAAATTTGAATGCAAAGAGCATTCAAATTATTTAGTAACTTCTAATAATCAACAAATAACCCACTAAAGTTAAATGCGGTGATAAGCCCCAAAAAAAAATTTTGAGAAACTGAAAGAGAAACAAAGGAAAGCCGTTTTGAGATTTGAAGGAGAAAGGCAAGGAACAAAAAAAGAGAAGAATGTAAAAGGAAGTTGAAAGGGCTTTCTCCCACTCCCAAACTTTCTTTTTTATTTTTAGATTTAAAAAAGATTGGATTTTTTTGGCTTTTTGAATTTTCTTTGCTTTCGCGTTCGTTGGTTGAAACAAGAATGCTTCAACTTGTTTTCTTGTCGTGCGTCTCATTCCGCGTTGAGTTGCCTTTATTGCTTAATTCAATTCAATTGGAAGCCTGCCTGCTAACGCTGCTTTTCACTTGTTAAACGACAAATTTTCACGGTTGCTCCTTCCAAACACCTTTTTGCTACCTCCAAAATACATGCCCTTGCTTGATAACATTGATTTTTTTTTCTTTTATAATTTCTCCTGTCTCCTTTTATTTATCCCTTTTTTTTAGATGTCTTAAAGATCATATCTTCTTTATTTTTTTTTAACAATTTTAAATTTTTACTTTTTTATAGTTTTAAGAAAAATTTTACACTTTTTTATATTTTAAAATTATTTTTTATTTTTTAACACTAAAAATAAAAAAAAATTATTTTATAAATAAAATAAAATATTAAATACGTTAAATTTAAAACTTTTTCCAAACTCTGTAAAAATAAAAAAGACCCAAATATTTGAGACGGAGAGAGTACACAGAATATATGTGCTTTTTTGTGGCTCTAACTTTCAAGTGACTAAAATATTAGAGCTGACAAAATTTTGATCCCTTTTGAAAAATGATAAGCGATTGAATCTTGAATCAATCCGATCTGAATAAAAATTTTTGGTTAAAATAAAAAAAAATAGTTTTTAAATATCATTATTTTATTTAAATTTTTAAAATAATATATTTTTATATTTTTATTATAGCTAAATAAATTTTTAATCATTAATTTACATTTAAATAAATCATAAACTTTCAATTTATATTCAAACAATTTTTTACTTTTTTAATTTGTATTTAAATAAATTTTAAATATAAATTAATTTTTCTTTTGAAATCATAATTTATTTAGATATAAATCAAAAATAAGAATTTATTTAAATATAATAAAAATATAATTATTGATTTAAAAAAATAAAAAAAATTCAAAAGTTTTTTTAGTATTTGAAAAGGCATGATAAAATTTATAAAATGGTAAGAATTAATTTACATCGTGTGGTTGAAAAATCTTTACGTGTCAAAAAAAATAAAATTGAAAATGGCAATTATAATTTAGGAGTAAAATATGATGAAAAAATGCATGTGTGTTAGTGGAGCAGGTATGAACTGACCAAGCTGAAAGGAGTGCCTAAAGTCCAAATGATTGGAAATATTCATACGAAGCAAACACAGTTGAATTTTACAAACGCTACTCTCAGTTGAATTTCATGTTTTTAGTTTTACATGTGGAGTCGCCCAATGTTTGACTGACTGTTTAGGCTGGTAGGCCGCAAAAGCAAATGGAGCCAGCTAGAGAAGGCAAAAAGACTCAAATCCGTCGAGTTTTGACTCGATCCGATCTTTTAAAGTCAATTTTTTTTTTAAAAAAATTGGATATCGAATTAGGTAGAGTAAAAAATTTTCGGGTTTAGGTCAGGGTCAGATTTTAGGTAAACCCGATCTCCTCGATCCGATATATATAAAAAAATTATTTTTTTAATTTTATATTTAATTTTATATATTTTTATAAATATTTAATTTTATATTTATATTTAAAATAATATTTTATTAATTTTAGATCGGATTAAATTTAATTTAATTTTATATACTGTCGGATCGGATCGAGTTCGAGTATTAAAAATAAAAAAAATTTTGAATCGGATACGAATTCGGGTATTACATATTTAAAATCAGGTCGAGTTTAAGGCGAGCAAAAATCCACCCCGATCCGACCCGTTGCCATCACTAGAGCCAGCCAACTAAAGTCAAAGATGAATAAATAATTGGTAAAACAACACTCAAGGTCCTTTTATGTTATAAAATTTAGAATTTAATTTTTATATTATAATTTATATAAATTTAATTCTCATTTTATTTTGATTTAATAATATTAGTTCAATTATTAATTTCATTATTTTCATTAAAAATACTAGCATGACCATTAACTTTACTGATATGACATTTATTTGTTGATATAGTAATTGAAATTAATAAAATCAATTATTAAATTATACAAATAATCTATAAATTCATATAAAATTTAAAATTTAATCATTATAGTCACATAAAATTTGAAATTTAATTCCTGTACCTATACGTAATATAAAATTTAGTTTCTTTATTATAAAAATATTTTAAATTTTTAAGAAATTTTTTATTTTTTTAAAATTTTAAATTTTAAAAATTGTTACAATATTTTCTCATAATATTCTATCACAAAATTGAAAAACCTATCACAATATTCTATCACAATTTTCATATATTGTCATTAATTCTGTCACAATTTTTTGTCACTCATGTGAATACTATTATTAGTTCCGTAAGTATTTCTTGTTATATTTCATCATAAAATATAAATCTATTATTAATTTTGTTACACTTTTTCTCATAATTATAGTATATTGTAGTCATATAAAAAAATCTTATAAAAATCTATCACAAATCTGTCAGTTTATGATAAAAATATGTCATTATCTAATTTTAATAAAATTATTATTTTTTATTAATTTATTAAATGAATTAGAATTATAATTACATCCCATAAAGATAAAAATTATCCATTAAATAGTTTTTTATTCCTTTAAATTAAATCCTATTTTAAATGATTTTTAATAATCAATTTTAGGTTCAAGATTTTAAATACAATACATTAAAGCAATTTACTAAGTTTAACATTTATTGGTTTTAAAATTAACTTTACTATTTAATTTAACATAATTATTTAGACAAGTTTTTTTGTTTTTTTTTTTGTAAAAACTTAAAAAGTTAAAAGTTCTCATTATTATACACAATATTGATGTTTCGATTTATCAAATAAATTTTTTTTTGTTAGGATCCAAAATTCATGTTTCAAATAGATAAAAGTTCATCCATCGTATAAATCAACATTTGAATCTCTTAAATTATGTTTAGATTGAGGGAAAGGAAAGGAAAATAAAAGAAAGTAATGAAAACAGAAAAACACTTCATTTATTTAGATAAACTTTTAATTTAAAAGAAAGGAAATAGGTGGAAACCCAATAACCTTTAATTTCTCTTATAATTTTTACTTTTTTAATACATCAATTTGATAGAAAAGCTAAAAAAGGAAACGTAGACACCAATTTTGACTATTATTATTATTAATTAATTAAAAAAATAAAAAAATAAAAAAAATCTTTAATTTTAACTCTGACAGCTGAAATCAAGCTGCCAAAGTGATAATTTTTCCTTCTGACACTACCTAATTTAGCAACCTAACATTCGGTGACCAAAAGTCATCGAACAATATCTAAATTTTCCACAAGTAAATCTAAGAAGATCTGGAATTTGAAATCCCAAAAGCTTTATAAATAGAGCCAAGTTCTGAGAGAGGACACATACACAGAGAACAAGGAAAAAAAAGGAAACACATAATTAAAAAAAAAAAGATTTTTTCGAGAATGAAATTCTCGATCTAAGAAGTTGTAGATTTTTTTTTGAAAAATCTGGGTTTAAAAAAGTGTTTAAAAAGTAAAAAAGATCATTGGGAGAATTTTTGGGAATTTTTGAAAAATTTTTCGATGATGGTTGAATTTTTTGGTACCAGAATCTGAAAAAGTTTAAATTTTTTGGTGACCATTGAATTTTTCGACCACCGAAATCTGGGATCTTTGAATTTTTTGGCACCGTTGAAGTTTTTCGACCATCGGTGCATGATGACAATTGATCGAAAACTAGGTATCCACGATAGCCGACAAGGGGTGCCGAGATTTTAGAGAAAAGGGCTTTGGGTAGAGAGAGAGATGGAAAGAAAAAATTAAAAAAAAAAGTTGAAACGGTCGTTTTAGACGTCTGGACTGAACTCGACCCGCGCAGGATCCACGCGCCGACCCATGCGCCAACCTGACCCGTTTCGCAGGTTTTTCTTTTTCTTTTTCTTTTTTGTTTTGATTTTGATTTTTTATGTTATTTTTTTATGATGTTATTATTGTTGTTAGTATTGTTTTTTTCATATTATTACTGGTAATAATTTTTTAAAATAAATAAATAAATAGAATAAAAAATGAAAACTAAAATAAAATAAATATCTAAAAAATATAATAGGCAAAAAAAAGTAATAATAATAACTATTTAGAGGAAATAAATTCTATTACAAGCAAAAATATGATAAATAAAATAAAAATAAATTATTTAAATGAATCTTTTAAATGTAATTTTTAAAGATAGCTAAAGGAGTTTAATTTTCTTTAATTATTACACGTAAAAATAATTTTTTTTTCGAATGTCACCATAGAATTGGGATAATCCAAAATTATTTTTACTAAAATAAAGATTGATTTAGAAAACGTAAAATAATAATAAAATTGAAAATAAAAAATAATAATAATTGATATTTTGAATTTTTTAAAGAGAAATAAAAAATTGAAAGAGTTCGATTTTCTTTAATACGAGCAAGATATAAATATTTAGATTTCTCTGGTGAGTCAAGATAATCTAATTTTTTTATAATAAAAATAATTAATAAATAATAAAAAGTTTTTTAAAATAATCATAATAGAAATTAATTAATAAATTCTTTTATTTATAAAAAATGATTTTATTTAGGATCTTGTCAAAATGTTGAGATGATCTTAAAACTTGCTCAAAATTTGTAGGATTTCACCGAAGAGTCGAGATAATCGTAAAATTTGTTAATAAATTTTGAGAACTCACCAAAGAGTCGAGATGTTCCTAATTTTTTTAAAACAAATAAATAAAATATCTTATAACAAGATTTCGAGAATTTTGTGAATGGTCAATTTTTTCAAAATATTTTCTAAATAGTGATTCTCTATAAATTTTGCCAAAGCATTGGAGAATTTATAGAATATAAAAAAATATAATAATACTAATTTTACAAAAAATACATTTTTAAATAAATTTCAGGAAATTAAATTTAAATAAAGAAAAGATCGTATTATCAAAATTAAAGGATTATACATGTTTAATTGGTACCGTTCTTCGAACGAGTGACGTGAGGGTGCTAATACCTTTCTCACTCGTAATCGTATTCCCGGACCTAATTCTGATTTTGCATACCTAAACTTCTTTGAGTAATTCTTAATTAATTTTAAGATTTTTACTAAAAAAATGA